AAGCACAGGAGCTCATCACTCCCCCTCCATAGTCTTCCCTTATCTGTCCCCAGGTTATCACAGTGAGCACCCTCACTTAGTTCAGCCTTACAAGCTTGACTTACTGATCATCTCTTTCACTCTCTTCTTTATGAGTTTGAGTTTTTAATTTCCACAAATGAGTGGGAATAGGCAATAATATCAATCTTTCTGTGCTTGGCTTATTTCAATTAATATAATAACTTTCATTGTCATGCACTTTGATCCAAATTGCAGGCTTTCTTTTTTCTATGTGATTCAATACAATCCATTGTGTATTTATTCCACATTTTCTTATTATTATTATTATTTTCCATTTTACAGTTTTGTAGGTGTAGAGATTACCCACTTTTCCTTCATCTCCTTCTTCTTCTGTCTCCCCTCCCCATGGTCCCTAGTGTTTCATAACCGTATAGTCCTTCAGCTGTAGTCTCAACTCTAGTGTTCCGTTGCTTTGTGTGTCATGACATTGTATGTATAAGCAATGATAGAGACTCTAGTATTTTAAAAAAAATTTTGTATTATTTATTTTGGAAAGTCAAACTTAATAGAGAAAAGGGGAGTCAGAGAGAAAGATCTTCCATTTGCTGGGTCACTTCCCAAGTGACCATAATGTCCAGAGCTGAGCTGATCCAAAGCCAAGAACCAGGAGCCAGGACCTTCTTCCAGATCTCCCATGCAGATGTAGAGTCATAAGGCTTTGGACCATCCTCTGCTGCTTTCCCAAACCACAAGCAGTGAGCTGGATGGGAAGTGGAGCAGCCAACATACAAACCGGTGCCCATATGGGATTCCAGTGCATCCAACGCAAGGACTTTAGCTACTAGGCTACTGTGCCAGGCTCAGAGTCTAGCATTTTGTTGTCAAGCTATGTTTAACAGTTTTTTGAGGGGGCTATTTTTAATCAGGAATAGAGATGCATACTGCAGTTCTTCTTTGATTCCTGGCTCTCTGGTATCCATTACATTCTTTGTTTATGAGATTAAAAGTGTTTACTTGTTTACTTTTATGTCTTTTCATTTTCTATTTAGAGTGAAAGTTGTCTTAATCAGAGAGAATATATATTCAGAGGATTGGCTTATTTCACTGACTATAGTGGTCTTCAGTTTGGACCGCTTTGTTGCAAATGGTAGAATTGCATTCTTTTCCACAGAGTAGATGTATTTCAGGTTCTTTATCCAGTCCTTTTTCAATAAGTATTTAGGTTGTTTCCATGTCTTCGCTACTGCTCATTATGCTGTAATGAATATAGGGATGCAGGTTGCATTCTCATATGTAGGTATCAACTTCTTTTTATACATTTTTTATCCATTCATCTGTTGATAGACACCACAGTTAATTCAATATTTTGGCTATTGTAAATAGTGCTGCAGTAAAAATAAGAACAAAGGCTTTTAAAATATACATGATTTCATTTGGTGTGTGCGTGTGTGTAAAAGCAGTAGTGGGATAGCTTGACCATGTTATTCTATTTTTCATTTTTAAAGAAAGCTGCAGCATGTCTTCCAAAGGGTTGTATGCATTCACATTCCCATATCAGTGTATGAGAGTGCCCCACTGTATGCATCCTCACCAGCAATTGATTTTTGTCTTGATAATAGCCATTCTAACAGGTGTAAGATGACATCTATTTGTAGTACTGATTTGCATTTCCCTGGGGATTGGTGGTAATAGTCATTTTCTTCATGTATTTTTTGCCATCTGCATGTGTTTTTTTGTGAGTTGTTCAGATAATTTTCCCATTTTAAAGCTGGATTCTCTTTTGCTGTTTTTCCTGCATAGTAATGTTTGTCATACAAGATTTTTCTGCAACTATTTTCTCCCATTCTGCTGCTTATCTTCTCACTTTGTTTCCTTTGCTGTTCACAAGCTTCCTAGTTTGTTCTAATCCCCTTTCTTTAGTTTTGCTTTGTTTTGACTGCACTTTTGAGGTCTTATTTAAACTATACTTACTCCTGGGCCCAGTGCCGTGGCCTAGAGACTAAAGCCCTCACCTTACCCATGCCGGAATCCAATATCGGCATTGGTTTGTGTCCCAGTGGCCCTGCTTCCCATTCAGTTCCCTGTTTCTGGCCTAGGAGGGCAGTCAAGAACAGCCCAAAGCCTTGGGACCCTGCACCTGCACATGGGAGACCAGGAAGAGTCTCCTGCCTGCTAATTTCAGATCAAGCTTAGCTCCGGCCATTGTGGCCACTTGGTGAATGAACCAGCAGACAGAAGATCTTCCTCTCTGTCTCTCCTCCTCTCCATACATCTGACATTCCAATAAAATTTTTTTAAAGTCTTTAAAATTATATACTTGCTCCTGGGAATTTCATAGCTTCATATATTATGCATAGGTCTCTAACCTATTTTTAATCAATTTTTATATAGACTGGGAGATAGGAATATAGCTTCCCGACCCGATTTGTGGAAGAGACTGTCCTCTGATATGTATTCTTGCCATCTTGGTCGAAAAAGAGTTGGTCACGTGTTTGCAGATTAATTTCTGGTTTCTTTAGTCATTTTCATTGGTCTGTTTCTATGCCAGTGTCATACTGTTTTGGTTACAATAGCTCCGTAGTTTGTCTTAAGATCAGGTACCATGATGCCTTTATCTTTGTTCTTTAAGGTTGCTGTGGCTGTTCAAGGTCTTTTAAGGTTCTGTGTGAATTTCATGGTTCTTTTTCACTTTCTATAAAGAATGTCATGATTTTAATGAGGATATCTTTTTTTTCACTTCTCACACTGACTCTGAGGAAGTCAGAATAGTGCCCCTGTACAGTTAAGGGTTCCAGCTATAGCAAGATGCCATCAAGCCTCCCAGCAATAATACAACTGGGGATTTGATCCCTGGCTCCTCCCAGGAAATTACTTCAATGAAGTTTGGCCTTATCATGTCTTAGCTCTATGAGTTTGACTGAATGATGTATGCAAAAGCCTGCCAAATGGTTGTCCCTGTCTAATAAGGATATGGGAGAATTCAGTGTGGAATACACATAGATTTCTTAACACAGCTGGCAAGCATCCAACATATTAATGCTTAGTCAGAATTCTGCCTGTGGATAAGCAGCTTTTTGCCTCCTAGTTGAAGGGCCCAAACTTACATAACTTGATGGACAGTTATACACCTCGGTGATGGCTGTCTTGGTCTCTCCAGGGGAAGAACTGGAGATGAGGAATTGTGACAAGTGCCCAAAGCAGCGCTGCGGGTGAAGCCTGTCTCAGAAAAGCCACACACCTTAGCATTGACTGTTGTCCCCCGACTGTCCTCATGGGGCTGAGCAAGTATTGTGGGCAGGACAATCATCCCCCTGAACCCAATGCTTCCTTAGTAACTCTCCCAGGACCTACTGTCTTGACATTCAGAGTTTTGCTTTGGCTTCATTTTTTAAAAATGCAAGTTCTGTCACTTCTTCACTGCTCCTTTTGAATTCTCACATCATGAGAATTTTAACCAGCTTAACCATCATTTGGAAAATGAACGTGTGTACTTTTTCCAATCACAGATCATTGATGAAGGAGTTAAATATCTACCATCTTTCCCTTAGCCTCTTTCCCTCAGCCTTTTATCTGTGCTTTTAGAGTGAGTCTAAATCATTAGGCTTGACCTTTCAAGGCAGTTGCATGCAGAAGAGGAATTGTGGCTTGAAGAACCTGCATTAGTTTACTTGATGAGTATCAGCATACTTTTAAAAAAAGTCCATAGGAAATGGAATAAAATGATAAGCTTGATATCATAAATATGAGAGGCTTTCAAAATTCTTAGAAAATATTTATGACTGTAAATTTCAAAAAGTTTTTGAAGTTTTAATTTTTGTTTTACATGACACACACACACAGAAGCATTCATGCGCCAACACATTCAGAGAGAGAAAGAAATGTCCCATCTGCTGCTTCACTTTCCAAATGCCTGTAGCTAGAGAGGCAGTTCAGCCTGGAGCTGGACCCTGGCGCTCCATGCAGGTCCCTCACATGGGTGACAGGGACCCAGGTACTTGAGCCATCATTACTATCTCTCAGTATGTGCATTATCCGGAAATTGGCAAGTCAAGTGGAGCCAGAACCCAAATTAGGCACTCCAGTATGGTTTAGGTATCCCAAGTGGCACATTACCCACTGCACCACCTACTCCAGACTTCGAAATAAATGTATCTGTTATTTCCATCTTCCATGCATTTTTGAAGTTCTCTTAAGTATACAGCATTTAGGCTTGTCTTCTTAAGGTTTGGGGGGCCCTCTAAATTGACTTAGACTGCTAGGAAAGTCTGCTGCAGGGGCTGTTGCACTCTTCAGCAGGTCTCTAGGGTTAGGACTCTTACCCTTAAGCACTCATGGATTCTGCCCTGAGAGGCACCTGAAAAGTCGCATAGAGAAATTGCTTATATTATTGCTAAGCCATTCCTATGTTAGTCTATCACATGTTGCTTCAAATCTTTGTTTCAAAACTTTCAGAAAAAAACTTTGCTCTGTGTGTTAACCTTAACTGTTAAATTTTCCAATCAAATGAAAACTGGCTTCTTGATTTCCATCCCTGGTCCCATTTGGTAGTGATTTGAAACAAGAGCAGCTTGCCTCTCTTGTCCACATGTCCTGTCACCACTTCTACCCTCCATGAGTTTCAAGTCTTATTTGGAGATTTGGTTCCTCAGGCTATTAGGAAGTAACTCTCCACAAAACATTGGAAATCCCTCCAGCATGAACATTTCCTAAGTTACTTAGTGAGAACTGTCTCAAGCGTATCACTGCACTGAATGGACGTATCCCAGGGGTTTAAGGAGGGCTGGCAGTGTGAGGAGAGTCCCAGTGTATACGAACATAGGAAAAGCTCTGTAAAGTACTGTGAAAGGGCCTGTTAAACTCGTGAGAATCAGGCTTGTGCTGACCCTGAATGAAGAACTGTTGCTCTGTATGCAAGGATTTTAAGATGCATGACTCTCCTAAGGGAGCTATTCAGTCCCCCCATCACAATTAATTTTTCTCTCTTTTTCCCATCCACACAGCCTCTTGATTTTGAAACAGCACCCATCTCCCACATTGTGTTCCAAGCAGAAAACCCGGAGCCACTGGTGTCTGGTGTAACTTATAATGCCAGCTCCCAGGCTGGATTCTGGCTCATTGTGACGGATGTGAATGAAGCACCTGTGTTTTCCCAGCCTATTTTCCAAGCCACAGTCAGTGAAGATGTACCTGTAGGCACCAAAGTGGGCAATGTGACTGCCAAGGATCCCGAAGGCCTGGATGTGAGGTAAAAGAAACAGGGCTCAGCAGGCCCAGATGCATGCCATTACCAAGGTAGGAGGACAGAGAAGCTGGCCTGCACTGACTCCAAGGCCATCTGTCCTCTGGCAGTGTCTTTGATCTTAGGGGAATTCCAAGGGATGGTAGATGATGGTCATTGGGAATCCAGGCTTAAACAATGAGAGTGGCATGGGCTGCATTGCAGCGTACTTGTTGCAAATCCCAGCTAACAGCAGTCCAGTTCAGGAGGAGGTTTGTCTCCCCAGAGATGGAGTAAACCAGAGCCAGGCCTTGGGTCTGAGCCCATCATATGAGCCAGGGCTTGTTTCTGAGTGCATTACAGGAGCCAGGGCTTGGGTCCGAACCTATCACAGGAGCCAAGGCTTGGTTCTGAACCCGTCACAAGAACCAGGCTTTGGGTCTGAGCCCCTTACAGGAGCCAGAGCTTGCTTGGGGGGTGGGCAGTAGGGGAGGGTGGCAATTGCATTCTACCCAGACAGAATGAAACAAAACACCAAACACATAGACCAACCTGGCAGGGTTAATGGAATCTCTTGGATGTAGGGTTGCTTACATTTCTTAACTCTAAGAGAGCTGGTCTGGAAGAGCAAGGCACTTTGCATACTCTAGCTCTGGAGTAGCTTAATGCTCAGCCTCAGGTGGCTAAGCACAATGTGTAATTGTTTCTATAAGACCAGGCACCATTTTGTCTCCACTGCAATGTGACCCAAACATATTGGCCTTAAAGTGATACAAAGATGAATAATTATCTCAGGGTGTAATACAAAGGTACTTCAAAAAATTAGTGGGAAATAGAAAACTATTTTGGCACAAAGGTTTTAAAAATCCACACGTACTTTTATTCCTAATACACATGTCAGCCAACTTTCTGATGTACCTTTATATGTAAAGAAGACTAAGAAGGGGCATGCTGTAAGATTTAGTTTTGGAAGACAAATGACAAAAAGGTGCCCAGAATGAAGAATAACGAACAGGTCAGATGCTAGTAGTCATTCAGGTCACAAGCAAGGATGACTCCAAAGTTTTGACATAAGCAGCTGAATTCTCCAGCTCCACAAACGCTGACCCTACCAGCACTCAACAAGCCCCAAGCCAGTTCTTCAGCAGATACACATTCTTTCACTGAAAATTTTCCAGAATCCCAATGTTTCTTCCTGCTTCCACCATTGGCCAAGGTGATCACCATCTCTAGGATTGTCAGTCTAAGCATTTGCCTGTCTCCTATTCTCTGAGCCTAATTGCTGAATCACAATGGGAGTGGTCCTTTAGAACAGTAAAGCTTTCTATGGGGCTCCTGTTTGCAAATAGAATCCCAAATACAAAGGAGTGTTTGTTTATCGCTTCTATACAATGCTTAATACAGAGCTTGGCAAATAAAATATATCTAGAAACGCATTAAAAATAAATAATCACAATCATTCTATTATTCCTAGTTGTATGTTTGATTACAGAAATATTTTGCACATATGTAATTAATTTTTAAACTTCCATTATGGTGTTTGTTCATTTAGGTAGAATTTCCTGGAGTGCGTTTATTTGGGCTAAAGCAATGAATATGCTGTGGCTGTGATGTGTTGCTTTCAATGGGTTATACTAGTTGTTTTTCTTGTTTGTTTTGTCTCTCTCAAATTTGTCATTCACACATCTGCTGATGAGCCATTTTGAACACACGAATATAGCTGAGCAGCTTTCATGCCTAACACCTTCTGACAACTGCACATTGGTTTGGTCTTCAGGTCTCTGTGGCCTTCTCTGTGGCCATCACTGCTTCCCATTTATACTGCAACACTGCTGAAAATGCTTGACTCTTACACACCTCCCAGCATCATCCATGGCCTGTCTTCTCTAGCACATGCCCGTTCTTCTGCTTGAAGCATCCTTCTCCTCGCCTTTGCGAACATCTGCTTACTCTTTTGGACGGACTTCTCTGAATTCCTCAAACTTCTGTGAGATTCCAGAAGTCCCTTTCCATTTTATTGACTGTATGTGATTGGAATGGTCTGCCTTTATATCTGCTTCCTCCAGTGGACTAAGATCCCATTTTTGTAAACGCTTCCCTTGGTCTGCTGCCAGATTCTCTGAGCACTCCATAGCTGTTCACTGATTCATGAAGGGTCACGTCCCTAGCAGTCAGTGAGCATCTACCTATTTTCCCTGATGTCTGCACCACTGGCTGTTTGAGATCCTCAAAAGGGAAGGTCTGCTAGATTGTCAAAGCTATTCCCAGGTTGCTTTAACTGGAATTATTATTTTTTTAAATTGGAATTCTTTAGTTGCCAGAAAAGTTTAACTTTTCTTCCAGAGTTTGTGATTATAAATTTCCCAATAAAATAAACCAAAGATTGTGAGGATGAGCAAATATTCCTTTTGAAGACAGATAGGCAAGTAAATCATTAGTTAGATGGATTGTATAAATGTGCTGTGAATAACACATAAATGATAATGCTGATAGAATGTGGATACATAAAGTATTTTCCCATTTTCATGTCAAGTAATGTGGGTTTCTTTACTGCTGTTTTTCTTTATGAAGTTATTCACTGAGAGGCGACAAGAGAAGTTGGCTTAGGATTGATTCTACTACTGGTGACATCTTTTCTAAGGCGCCACTGGACAGGGAAACTGAGAGTGTGTATCGAGTACAAGTGGTGGCCACAGAGAAAGGTAAGGAATAACAAAGTAAGATAGCCTAATAAGGGATTTAGCAGTGGAAATGAGATGGTCCAGTTCTGTCAAGGTGGAAGGATGAGAAGGATCCTGAAGTGCCAGGAAGTGTTCGTGCCATCCTGGACTTGTTAAAAATGAGACTAGGCTGTATCCCTAAGCAATGCTGCCTCTGGGCAGTCTCCAGGGATGCTACCTGTTCTGTGATTTCACATAGGGGCTAGAGCTTTTTCTAACAAAGTTCCCACATCCCTGGCTGAAACACTATCCTTCTTTCAAGGGAGTTGTGGGGTGTGCATTTCCCCCCAAAAGTCAGGTCCATCAGGGCCCTGTCATCTAGACCAGTTCTCAGTCCTTAAGTGTCCCATTGCAGCTTCTTAGGTCTCATTCTCTTCATAACAGAGAGGGCTTAGTGCCATCTTTCCACCTTGCTGCGACTTGTGGGAGAGGGAGCCTGGGAGTATGTGTTAGCAGCTGCTGATGCAGGAGGCTCAAGTGAACTTGGCTATCTGGATTTTCATGAAGTAAAAACTTGGACAGGATAAGCCCAGGGTGTTGGAGCCATCCCTTTATTCTGCGTAATTCCTTTTAATTCAGTTATGGTAATATGCATCTCCTGTAGGCTCTGAATACAGGATCATAGGAAGCTTTGAGTTAAACCCATCAGGAGTAAGATGCTTATCAGTAATAAGCCTATAATTAAAAGCATTTAGTTACTTTACATTTAAAGAGAATTTTCCAACTTGCATTAGGATTTCTGGTGACTAAGACTAATTAGTAAATATATCTGGTTGGTTTGGAGAGAGAGAGAGAGAGAGAGAGAGAGAGAGAGAGAATAGAGCAAATTATTACCAAATAAAGTTTTAGATCCTAAATAAGCTTTTGAAATGTGAGGACCAGGAAGAGCAAGAGAGGAGGAAACTGGCAAAACAGTCCATGTATATGAACAAGATTAAGTAAAACAGAAGTGCTGTTGTCAGATGAAAGGGAAGAACTGCCTGCCAACTTTGGAAGGGCTGTGTGTGAGTGGATGAGCCTTCTGAGGGTCAGCTACAGGCTGCCTGTCTCTGTCACTTGCTTCTAGCTAAACGCATTCCACCATCACATTGTATACATTGAACTCTTGATTTAGAAGCTCCCAGTTCATTAGCAAGAAGTTTCTGGCTGAGTCTTTATGCCACGCACTACATCATACCCAAGGGATCAACACTTCACTTCAGATGTGTCCTAAGAGTTTCTCACATTTTAGATGTTGCACAAATCAAAACCAGAGTCTAATACCCTGTTCTACTTTCAGTTGTTGGCACTGAAATAATGTAAATAGATGACTTCAAGAGCACAGTGGTTTTTCTTTCCACTTTGGTTAGGTATAGTCAGGACATAGAGTGGACAAGAAAAGCAAGACAGTAGGGTTTACTGGAAGTGATGCAAGTCAGAATCAGAAATCACAGGAACAGTTGCTGATCGATGTCGGAAAACAGCACTGTTTACATCGTCTTGACAGCCCTCTACCAAGCACTTAGAGCAATAGCTCAGCCCTCACACAACACTACGGGGCAGATACTGTTACTGAGCATGTTTTTTATTATTATACTGAACATTTTTTATGGACAAGGAAACCAAGGCACTGAAAAAAATCAAATAATATTCCCAGGATGACACATTTCCCAGAACCCAAAGGTTTGAGCAACTCTACTATCTTCTAGAACATTCACCTAATATGGGATCATCACATATTAAGCCATGTGTTTTACAGCTCAAGAAATGAGGCTTAGAAACATTTTCTGTCATGCCCAGGGCAGTGGATGAAGGTGTGAGTTCTGGGATTGGACCTCCTGGATTGGAAGTCTGTCCACCACTCAGTGGCTAGGTGACCTTGGACAAGTCACACAATCTTCCTGAGCCTTAACATTCTCATAAGAAATGTACATCAGAGTTATTTTTAAAAACTTATTTTTTTTTCATTTGAAACTAAGAGTTAGAAAGAAGAAGAAGAGAGAGAGAGAGAGAGATGTTCCATCTACAGATTATCACCCCTAATAGCAACAATGGCCAGCACTAAGCTGATGCAGAACTGGGAGCTAGGAGCTTCTGGGTCTCCCATATGGCTGCAGGGACCCAAGTATGTGGAACACCCTTGGTTGCTTTCTGGGCACATTGGCAGGGAGCTGGATTGGAGTGGCCAGGACTTGAACCAATACCCATTTGGGATGCTGGCTCCTCAGGGAGAGACTTATTCTACTTTACCATAATGTCAACTTGTGGAGTTGTTTTGAAGATATGTATGCAAAATAGTAGTACACAGATATTAGTTACTGTTTCTAGGAGTTTTGTACTAGCTATGACTCAACTTTGTCATCTTTCTACTACCACAATGTAAGAACAGCTTCATTGGCTTAAAAAAAAAAAAGTAAATGCACTTTTTGATGAAGGGAAAATAAGCATGCTGACACTGTGTTTTCAATCATCCAATCTCACAGGCAGGTCCTCCTTGAGTTCCACGTCAGATTTCCACCTGATTCTTCAGGATGTGAATGACAACCCGCCACGGCTCGCCAAAGAGTATACAGGCTTGTTCTTCTGCCACCCCCTCACTGCCCCCGGAAGTCATGTTTTTGAGGCAACTGATGATGATCAGAAGTCATTCCGGGGTCACCACTTCACATTTTCCCTTGGCAGTGAAAGCCTGAAAAAGGACTGGGATGTTTCCAAAATCAATGGTGAGTTGTCAAATGTGCATCTGGAAAAACAATGATGAGTGATGCCATTGTTTTATCTTCTTTGGTGGGTTTGCAGAATTCAAATCAAAGCTTGCTTCCTTCTTTCTGAAAGGGAGGCCACACTTTGCAAACTCTCACGGGGAAAGTCTCTAAGGGGACTAAGTTTCAAGTTTGGAGGGAGGAAGGATTATAACACTCAGTGGCTCTTTGACCTAGACAGTTGGACATCCGAGAGTCATTTGCAAGAATTCCAATGAATGCTGAATACAGATTTTGCCCTAATTTTTAAAAAAACTTGACATAGAATTGATAATTTTATAATAATTGATAAAGTTAGTGGAGAAAAAAACAAAGCTAGGATCATTTTGGTGGTAAATTTTTGCAATAAGGGCATGATTTCTTTCTTCAAATTTTTAATTCAATTTTTTTTTACATATAAAACGTAGGGTATTACTTAATACTTTCTTAAATATCCAGTCAGGGTAAATACATTTATCCTCCCAAGCATTTAACATTTCTTTATAGTGAAAACATCTAAAATCATTTTTTAGGTTTTTGCTTAATAGAGAAATACACTATACATTATCCATAGTCACTTTTCTGTACAATCCAATCCTAGAACTTTTTTCTTTCCCAAGTAGTATTATTATTATTTTATGATACAGTTCCATAGGCTTTGGAATTTCCCTGACTCCTGCCTCAACTCCCCTCTCCCATAGACTGATTTCCCCTGTATTATTACAATAGTATAGTTTTTCAAAAACAGTCATAAGTCCATCATTGCAGGCATGGAAAATGGCAGAGAGTCTAGCATCCTGTTGTCAAGAAACAGTAAACAGTTTCATTGAGAATCCATCTTTGATCTGGAAGTAGAGATGCATACTGCATTGTATCTTATTATCTGGATATGATAGTCTCCATTACACAGTTACTGTACATCCCCTTAAATGAAAAGCCACAATACAAAATCAACAACAGGAAGAAAAAAAGAAACTAAAAATGCCATAAAGTTAAATAACATGCTACTTAATGCCTTATGTGTCACTGAGGAAATGAAAATCAAGAATCTTATTGAAGAAAATGATGCTATTGTATGATCTACGTGAAGAATTTAATATGACAAAAAACTGTATTGAAGAAATGAAAAGTAAAAACAAAAACATCAAAATCCATGAGATATAGTTCCCTGTGAACTTTGTTAGTTAGATGTGTAGGCAACATGGATAGATGTAGATAGAATTGTTTTGATCGAGTCTACTGATCTATGACCTTAGATTGATGTGTTGAAGTCATTTACATTTAGGGTTAATATGAATAGGTAGTCCTGTCATTTTAGCAGTGAGTTGTTCATTGTTTGATTTAGTCTTCTGTTGTTACTTCTACTGGGATGTTCTTCACATTTGCCTTTGGGTTTGGTAAGCGCTATTTCTTTTCTGTCAAGAGAACATCTTTAAGTATCATTTATAGGGCAAGTCTGGAAGAGAAATATTCTTTGGGCTTTTTTTTTTTTACTGTGAAAGAATTTTATTTCATTTTCAAAGACAAAGGAAAACTTTGCAGGGTATATTATCCTGGGCTGATAATTTTTTCTTTTTAGAATTTGGAATATGTCACTGCATTTTTCTTCTTGCCTGTAGAGTTTCCTATGAGAGGTCAGCTGTGATTCTAATTGGCATTCCTCTACATGTCAATTGATTTTTTTCATGAGCACATTTAAAGATCTTTCTCTTATGTTCCACTGAAGAGAGCTTGATTATAGTGTGTCATGGAGAGGAACACTTTGGGTTAACCTGTTGTTCTGTGCGCCTCCTGGATCTTGTTTCCCAGTTCTTTTCCAGGTTAGGGAAGTTTTCCTCTATTATTTCATTGAACATAGCTTTAAAAACCCAGCTTCTCTTTCTACACCTTCTGTAACTCCCATAACTTTTACATTTGGACTTTGAATAGTGTCTTAATTCTTGAGTACTTTTTTTTTTAGCTCAATCCAGCTCTGCTTCCAGCTTTTTGAGTGTTTCCCTCTATGATAGAAATATTTTCTTCTGCCTCCTTCATTCCATTGTTGAGACTTTCCACTGGATTTTTAGTTTGCTTCATTGTGTCCTTCATTTCTAATAATTTTGGTTGCTTTTGTTTCAGTGTTGCTATTTTCTGTGTGACATATTCCTTGAATTCCTGCATGTGCTTCTAATTGTTCATAAGAAGCTTTATAACATATAACAAGTTTTTAAAATTCTTTATCCCCCATTTCCTTCATGTATTCCTCAGTTAACTTTGAGGTTGGCAAAGGCTTTTGCTCCTTTGCAGGAGGGTCTTCAGTAACATTCATTGTGCCTTTATTTCCTCTTTTGCTCTGGTCATTGTGTTTCTGATTAGTGGAGTCTTAGTTTACTGATTGTGTTTGGTACCCAGTTTTTTCTCTGTAGTCACTTGTGCCACTCCTTGCAGTGAATTTCAGGTCTGGACTCTAGTGTTAGACTTCCACCATGGAATCTGAAGCCACGGCTCTTGGCTCACCATCGTTCACCTCCTGTGATCCCATGCTTTGGCTACACTGTTGTCTGTACAACCTTCCTCCCACTTCAGGTTTGAGCAGTTCCCATGATTAAGGAGACACTAGGTATCCTAAATAAGTAGGTTGGTGGTGGTGCTGATCTTGCCAGAACCTGTTGGTCATTAGGTCTGAGGGCCACTCAGAACTATTTTGACCCATAGAATGCCAAAGTCAGTATTATTTTCCCTGTGGGACCAGTGCAATGCACTGAGCTAGAAGTGACTTTGCTCATGTTGGGCTAAATGGTCATGGCCAGGTTGTGCTAAAACCAGGAGTTTTATTTGGTCTCCCATATGGGTGGCAGGGCTTATAGACTTGGGATGTTTTCCACTGCTTTCCCAGGTACATTCTCAGGGAGCTGGATGGGAAGTGGAATAGTTGGAACTTGAACCAGTGCTCATATGTGACCCATTTATCTGTTGACTATAAGAAAAAACATCTCACCAATAAAGATACGTGGAAACAACAAGTGTGAAAGGATATTCCAGGTCAATGGAAAAGAAAAGTGAGCTGGTGAAGCCATTCTAATATCAAGATAACAGATTTCAATGTGATGACAATGTAATATTGAATATAATAATAGGCATAATGACATGAAATCCAAATAAAGACCTCTGCATTTGGGATCCTTCCTCCCATTATTCTAATTTTATGATTTACATTTGACCTCTTTCCATATTGCTTGTGTCTTAACATTTTAATGTAGTGATTATACTTTTTTAAGTATTCATGAAAAAGGTACAGATGTTTTACACACCATGATTACAATGTTAGAACACTTGTTTGCTTATATTGTTACTCTTACTTGTGAATTTTCTACTTTCTGCTATTTTGCTAGCATCTTATCCCTACCACCCTGCCTCCATTTGAGGAATTCCTTTAGCATTTCTTGTTAACAGGTCTAGGGTTGATAAATTCTCTCTGTGTATATTTATTAGGAAATATTTATCTCTTCCCATAGCTGTTTGATACTTTTCTGGATTCAGTACTCTTGGTTGACAACTTCTTTTTCCTCCAATGCTATAACAAGCCCCCCCACCCCCAAACCTCGTCTCTCTGTAAAGTTTTTGTTGAGAATCAGGCAAGTTGATAGCCATTTGTATGATATTTGCTTCATTTGTCTTATACCTTTGATAATTCCTTCTTAAACATTGGAGGACTGACTTATGCTGTTTTGGCATGGAGTTGGTTTGGTGAAATCTGACTGGTGACCTTTCCTTGCTTGGACCCATGTATCTTTCTGTAGATTTTGAAAGCTGTTATGATCTCTTTGAAAATGTTTTCCACCAACTTGGTATTTTCAAGTCCCTCTTGGATCTCAGTAACTTGAATATTTAGTCTTCTCATGCTATCCAATATATTCCATAATGTTTTTCATTTATACAGGGTGCCTGCATCTCAGAGGGTAGGTTAACCACTGCATACAATATTGGCACCAACCACGTGATTTTTTTCTTTTTTAGAGATTTAAGGCAGATTTACAGAGAGAAGGAGTTACAGAGAGGAAGAGCTTCCATTCAGTGGTTCACTCCGCAAGTAGCCACAATGGCTGGGATTGAGCTGATTTGAAGCGAGGAGATAGGAGCTTGTTCTGGGTCACCCACATGGCTGCAGGGTCCCAAGGTTTGGCACCATCCTTTGCTGCTTTCCCAGGGCACAAGCAGGGAGCTGAATGGGAAGCTGGAGCTGGGACACAAACCAGCACCTGTATGAGATCCCAGGAATGCAAGATGAGAATCCAGCCACTAGGCTATTGCATCGAGCCCACGTTACAATCTTAATTACTATGGCTCTATATTGAGTTAAAATCAGCTAGTGTAATTTTTGTGATGGTACTACTGTATTACATTGTCAAATGTTTTTTTTCCTTATAAATCTAGCCTGTTTATTGATTTTTATTAATATTCCCAAAGAGCCTGTCTTGGTTTCATTCATTTTATGACTTTTGTCAGATATTTATTATTTTTTGCTTCTTACGTTGTGTTTTTTAAGCTGAAGGAGTAAGTTTTATAAACATTTGTTGCTGATAAACTAACATCTTGGCTGTTAATTTAGCTGCCTTCTACAAAGGTTGATGTGTTTTTATTAGGTCAGAAGACCTTATTATTTTCCTTTAGATTGGATTGTGGGTTACTGAGAAGTGTGTTATTTAGTTTCCAAATATTTATGGTTTCTAATTTTATTATTTCATGACTAGAGAACATGAAACCATTTCTTTCAATAGTCAGTGAAGCTTTTATTGAGACTTTTTAAAACTGCTTTAAAGATATTTTTCCATTGCATTCTGATTTGTATTATTTCTTCTTTGTTCCCTGGAATATAATGTGTCTCTCCCCTCCCCAAGTATTTTAGATGTTCTGTTTCTGGCTTGAAGTAATTTGATGGTTATGTTCCTTGTTGTAGTTTTGTTCATTTTTCTCATTCCTTGAGATCTTGGGTCAGAAAATTTGAAGTTTTCAGAAAAACCACCACCTCTTACGTTATTTCCATTTCCCCCTGCATAGACACATATCTCAACCATTATTTCTTCCAGGGTTTCAATTACACACACATTAGACCACCTTAGGCTGTCTCAGTGCTTACCGATGCTTTGTATTACATTTTGGATAGTTTCTGTTTTAAAATTTTCATTGATTTTCCTCCTGATAGATGCATGAATCCAACCTAGTGTATTTCTCAAAATCAAACCAAATGGATTTGGGTCTTATTGATGTGTCTTCTCACTTGTTGGATATAGAGGGATATTGTTTAAACTTCTCTCTGGTGCTGACTTTATGTAGATTTCAACTGGCAGAGTTTTTCTCTTCATGAGGGTCATATTTTCCTCTTTCGTTGCATGTCTAGCATTTTTCAAAAGTATTAAATTCCAGATATTTAGATGCCAAAATTCTTGTATTCCTATAAACATTTTTAGCTCAACTCTGAAATGCTGTCAAAATTTGTTAGACAGGATCACAGCAATGTTTGTTTAAGGGCTCATTTTTTCCAACGTGCAGAAGTAAAACAAAACAAAACAAAACAAAACAAAAACTTTTGGTGCACTCTACCCAATGCCCCAGCAGTTACGGCTCTTGGAAACAGAACCTATTCCTGATCCCTTATGATATCAAAGATTGTTCTCTCTCATCTTGTTGGGTGCTTCTTTGCCCAACTGTGGTAGCTGTCTTGTGTTTTTTGTTAGCTCCGACGCCCAGTCTCCTGCCTTCGTCTTGGTCTAGCTGACTGTTGTGGCCATTTGGGGAGAGATCCAGTGAGTGGAAGAGGAGTCTCTTGCTCTCTCTCTCCCCCTCTCTTTTTCCCTTTTAAATAAATAAAGATGGGGTCCCCTTGGGTTATCTTTCTGGTTTACCTTCCCCCTATTTCAGACTCTTGAAATTTCGTTCCTTTACTCAAGCTCCATAGTCTCCACTGAGGGACATCACTTAGGTTGGCTTGGAATTCTTCTCCCTGCACCATGACCTGGATATTCTTTCTGTGTAGTAAGCTGAGGAAATTATAAGGGATTGGTGCATTTTTTTGTTGTTGTTGTTTTTCTTCCAACGACTCCCTGCCCTTCACTATGTGTATCCAATGAGTTCATCTATTTGGGTTGTTTGTAGTGGGCTGGTAGATCTGATCTCTTTTACTCATTCAGTCTAACACTGGATGTGTTGACCATAACACATTTCAAGTATAAAAAGCTCTTTCAGAGTTCTGGAATATTTGGGAGGGATTAAAAAAGAAAGCTTCAACATGATCAAGACTAGTGATGTAAGACTTCGTGTTATATCTTAATTCATGACTAATAATTCTCTATTAAAAAAGGAAAGAAAATATGCTAGAAATAATGCTGAATATCATGCATTCCCTGTTTCAGGAGTGAAAGGGATTTTCAGACATACAGATGTTCTAACTTTTCTAAGATCTCATAGCTAACCAGAAGCAGATTTGAAATCCAGGATTTGGTCTATAAATGCTCTGTCTTGCATTCTTCAGCTGCCATGCTATGCTATTTTCAGTCTGTCTTCATTATTTGCAGGTTTTGTATTTGTAAATTCAAGTACTTGCTAGAATGTATAATGCAAAAACAAGTATGTAAGGGAGCTTTTATAGTTATGGACACTAATGGATAGTAAAAATGTGATTTTTCCTGGCGTAAAAGCTTCCAGCTGAGATTGAACAACACGACATTTTTCTTTCTTGTTTTCAGCCTTCATTTTGTAGAATGTTTTACATGTTTGTGATTTTGTTGTTAAAATGATTTCAGAGCTCAGTGCTAAAACAGACTCCAAGCATTTCCTATGATGTATGCAGCTTATAAAGGAAAGACCTAAGCTTTGCTCAGGAATGGACTCCTATCTTGTTGACTGTGAGCTAAATATTAATGAGTCAACAATATTATTAAATAAGGTGTCATGCAACAGAGAAAATGAGGTGATTCTTTTGGTTGTTTAACTCATCTATGAGAATGTCATGTAAGGAGCAGCTATTCCCTTGCTCATTTGAGGGTTGGACGATACATTTTCCTGTCATTCATTTTTTTTTCTCTCTGTTATGGTAGGTTCTCATGCCAGACTTTCCACGAAGCACACAAACTTTGAGGAGAAGGTTTATGACGTCTCGATCCGCATCAATGATGAGGGCCGACCACCCATGGAAGGGACTGTCTCTTTACCAGGTACATATTTAACAACAAGTGACTTGGGACAGTTTGAAAAGATTCTTGTCTTTGACATGGGATTCTGCAACTAGTCACTAGTTCAACCAAATACTGTTCTGCTTTTCAGTTACTTTCTGTTCATGCGTGGAAGGAAGGTGTTTCCGTCCAGCCGGTAGACAGTCAGGGATACCCACGTTGGGCATGGCAGTCGTTGTACTCCTGACCACCTTTCTGATCATTGGTGAGTACAGTTTCTCACATTTCAGGATTTCTGTCTTGAGTTTGTCTGGTGGCTGCTCACATATTAACTCAGGAACTAACCACCATCAAGCTTTCCTAGTTGGAAGATAGTGTGTTAGTACCACCCTCTATCACTGCTTTAATTAATTTAGGAAACAGTATGGGGTTTGGAGTATAAAGTATTTTATTTAATGCCTGGTTACCAAACTTTCATCATAATGTGCCCCTGCTATGTGTCAGGCACAATGCTTACCCAAGAATTAAAAATAAGTATTCCTTTCATTCATGAGCACCAAGTGAAGGAGTATTCAGTCTCATCTTTCTCCTGTGAATGAAAAAGTTTGATTATTCTAAGTATCCCTGATTGTTCTCTGCATCTGATTTTTTTTTCCTCTAACCTGTCCATTTGAACTCCTGCTTATGGGTCTGTGAGGGATTTCTTTCCTTTTATCCTTCAGTATAAATTTCTTATGACTGTTATATATGTTTCAGACCAATGGAGCTGGCTGTGCCACTCTGGCTTTTCTTACTGTGTTTGTCCTCCCATTTTAAAATGATGAATTTCTGCACAAAGGAATATTTTTCTTATAATTGGATTCTATACTCTTATCCCTATTATAGATTGGGTGAATTTGGGGGTATATATAGAGAGATAGAAACAATAATACTTTAACCCTACCCCAGCCTTTTCAAAGTAGGGGAAAATTATCTCAAGATGCTGAATGAGTTTTGAGCAAAGTCTACAATGATTCTTCCTGTAAATGTATTCATTTCTACAAAAAAAAAAAGTCTTTCAAATGATCTGAAGAACTCTCTTTTTCATATTTGGCCCTGATTGACAGTCAGGTACACATTTCGTACTGAGTTGGGAAAACTCGTAAGACTTCAGGATTCTACTCAACAGCATAGGTTGGACCCCCAAAGAAACCATCAAGGAAAATGTATATTTGGTGTGAATGAAATGAAAGTAGGTCATAGGAAAGGGAGCAGCAGTATTTTTTGAGTGTGTACCAACTTCAGGAACTCTGTAAAATTTTATTGTACTCAGACCAAGTCATCTGCCAGGTTAGGAATGATTTAGAACTTGATGCACACTCCTACTTGGAAGTGGTAAGCTTACTTATCCAAAAGGCCAATGTCTAAGTTCCTCATTCATTAATGCAATGGAACTTACTTAACTACAAAATGGTAACATAGTCATTTTTTTTAACCAAGATACTACTTTATGAATGAATATGACAGTATATTTTAAGATTTTGTCAATTTAACTCTGGGTTCTCTCTTTTAGGGATCATTTTAGCAGTTGTGTTTATCCGTATAAAGAAGAATAAGAACAAAAATAATGTTGAAGATACTCAGGCACCTGAAGCCACACCTTTGAGGAGCTGAATTTGAAAGGATATTTAAGCTTATTTAACCAAGAACAATAACAAAGCCATTAGTCTCATAACTTTACTTTCCATCCAGGAGGCACACTATTTTTTTTTTTTACAGATATTCCCTCTTATCATTCAATAGTTTATTACTTAAATATTTCATGGACCATAAACATTAGGAATATTTTCCCTTTCCCTCTTCTGCAAAGCTTTATCTACATACTCAAAAACAGCAAGGTATGTACTTTCCTCCTTTGGAGAAAGATGGGCAGATTAAATATTTTGTACATCTCCAAAAGACTTAAGCACAATGACTCAAAAAATACTGGAATCATCGTTTTTATAACATCTCTATTCACAATAGCAAAACATGGAATCAACCAAGGTGCTCATCATCCAATGAGATGTTAAAGAAAACATGAACACATAATGGAATAGTCAATGGAACATTATACAGACATATACAAAACAGAATGTTATTCAGCAATAAAAAGGATAGGATTCTGTGACTATATATTATTAATGATTTTGTGACTATTTTAAAATTTAGTTCATGTGAGTGAAGTTGAACACTTTGATTGTTGTTTATATTCCTTACCAACTTTTCTGATGGACTATGGTGTTGTTTTTTTATTTGTTGAACTCTTCATTTGATAGTACCACTAAGCCCTGACTATGACATAAAATAAAAATGTTATCTCGAAAATTGTGAAGTTGGAGCAACATAACTCCCCAGGAAGGGTAGGCCTGGCTAGGCCCCAGGCCCTTGTGGCCTGGGTGCTTTTTGCTTTAACACAAGTGTGGACAGCTGGGCTGCATAATTCTCCAGGGGAAGGGAGGCCCTGGGTGACCCGGGTGTCAATGGTACCAGGTGAATCCCTCAGGCCACCATGCAGTGCACTCTGGGGACTTGGTGTGTGGGCTTACATGGGGTCTGATGGACGGTGCAATTTGGGGTGAGCATGAACCTGAGGGTTCATGTCCTGGTGAGGAATGACTACTGAGGGACTTCCATAGACAAGGCCACTATATTTGTAGGTAAGTGAAGGGGCTGAGACAGAGCTGTTTGAAGAGAGAGGAAAGGACTTTAAAGGGTTAGACCAAATCACCAGCAGGAGTGGGAGACCTGGGCTGGGGTATTTAGCATTGATCACCATAAAACACCACTCATTGGCATACACTAAATCTAGGGCTGAGGGCTTATCTGGTAGTGTTATATCACAGTACCCACCAGTGAGATTCAGAACACGGGTTGGGTAATGCTGGCCCATGATACTAATCAACATGCGAGAGAATCAGTCTAGGGGCAGAATTTGTATATGTGGGTTCACCTCTGTGCAACTGTAATCTCCGCTGCCATGTGAAAGATCCATGGCTGGGAACAGCCCTGGTTGGAGAGCTAAGGGGATGTCCCAGCTAGGCTGGGGTTCCCACTGCTGAGCATGAGAGCTGGACTGATGGCAGTGGGCTGGGCTGGACAGGGCTGCAGCCTTCCTTCATGTGAGTGTGGATTGGGTCTGGGGAGTGCCAGATTGGGACAGATTCCAGCACCCCTTGGTACTCATGAGAGCCAGGGTGGGTGTAGATTGGGCTGGGCTAGGTATTGGCTCCTGATGAACCATGTGGGCATTGTCTTGGCATGGAGCAGGAGTGGCTGGGCTGTAATGCCCAGGAGTAACAACCAGAACGGGTGTGGTCCAGCTGGGCAAAGACATTGTTCTTGTCAGGACAAGAGGTAGACTAAGTCATACTCGGCCAAGGACCATCAGGGTGCGTGATATCTACTGTGGAAAGAGACCTAATAGAGGAACTTGGGGAACTCCCTTGTCAGGATGCAGTCCCTGCAGGTAAGTGCAAGAACCAAGGCAAGGAGTGGCCCATACCAGGCCTGGTTATTATACCCACCAGCACACATGTGGCTCAGTCCGGGTCTGGGCCAGGCTGGGTCAGCTTTTAACATGCACTGGCAGATCTGAGAACCAGAATGGGGTACAGCATGGGTCAGGTTGTACCACAATACCAGCCACTCAACATTAGGGCTGGGACTGGGGGCTGGCTGGGCCGGGCTAGCCTGTAGCACCCACAAGCAGGAGCTGGAACTGGGAGCTGGTTGGATCAAGCTAAGCTGCAGCACTTACTGATGGATGTTGAGGTGAGGGGAGTCATGCCAGCCTAGGTACATGGGGTGCTGGATCCATGAGCCTCAGGGCTGGGTGTTATAGCAGCTTCCAGGTCACCTAGCCCAGGTTGTTGGGTCTGCCTGTGTGGTCAGTACCAAGTCCATGAGCCCTTGCAGTGGAGAGTCCAGTGGGACCCAGGTCTCCTGGCCTGGCCTGGGTCCTGGGCCTGCCTGTGCGGTGGGTACCAGGTCCATGAGCCCTAGGGGCAAGGGACCTGGCAGGCCTGGGTTGACAGGGGTCTTTGGGCACACCTGCAAGGACTGGCCTTACTCAGTGAACAGCTGAACAGCTGGCCCTAGTGCACAAAGAGGATAGAGCAGACCATTGGCAACTACAGGGGACATTTAATACCATAGCAGAGAAGGAGAATAGAACAAACTGAACAACTACCCCAGCCAAATGATGACAGCAAAAATCTGGATGAATGAAACCCATAAGGTTGACTGTGTCAGCCAATGGACTTTGGAAGGGTTTCCTCATCCTTGGATCAGTGAATTCGACAGCATGTCAGAACTATTGAAACCACTGAGCAGAACCCCCAAACCATGCACCGCATTGGAACCCTGGGTTGTTATTATATGACCATTCCCCATCACCAGGTACTGGGACAGTTGTGGGCCTGAGTATGGCTTCTCTCCTTATCTCCTCCCTCCCCCCAGAAACAGGTAGAAGAAATAGAAAAATTGGAAGCAATGTTCATACCCACTTTTCCCTGATCCTTGTTCCCATTCTGATCAACTATGTGAGCATCATCCAAAAAGCAAAATTTAAAAATTTAAAAAAACAAATTTTTAAAAATTGTGAAGTCTTACATTAAGGCAAATATAGGATATCTGATCTTTGGGGATGAACTCATTTCCCTTAGCATAATGGTTTCCAGTTGGGCCTATTTGGCCATGAAGAAATGTATTTCGTTTTTAAAAACTAGCTGAGTAGTATTCCATAGAGTAGATGAATCACAGTTTCCGTATCCAGTCATCTGCTGAAGGGCATTTTGATTGCTTCCATGTTTTTGAGATTATTTATTGTGCTGCGATGAACATAGGGGTGCATAAATTATACCTATAAGTTGTATCTTTTTGCACTTCCTAGCTGTCTGTACTCCACGCAATAAGATCTTGTCATATAACCTATTAATCGATAATTCATGAGAGACTGATGCATATGATCACCTGAGATTGTTAATATCCCTCTTATCATTGTTATTATTATTACCTATGGGTAACGATGATCTAGTCTGTACTGTACTCCCATTTGAACCACACGGGTCATACGCTAGCATTAATTTCTGCAGAAAGATATTGGACACTCTGTGCCACCCTAGTGTCACATTGATACTCCTGCTATGAGTTTGACAACACCATGGAGATGAAGACTCACTATCATTTTATTTGAATTTTTTCTTTCTTTTTTCCTTCTCAACCTGTGGTGAACTGTACCTAAGGGGAGGTATAATGAAAGTGCAGTGGAGATACATATGTCCATAAGCATAAACAGAGAGAATGGTCTCACAGCAAAATGACAGATAAGCGCCTACATTGTTGGGAGACACCTCAATGGCAGTACGATGGACTTCTGAGGGCACCTGAAAGACTCCTATTAAAAAACTGAAGAGGACAACAATTGGGATTGAGGTGGGGAGTGAGAGGGGAAACCCCAATACCTACTAAACTCTGTCATAAAAATTTTTTTTTTAAATTATAAAGTCAAAAATAAAAGACCACAGAGAGCAATCATCTTACTCCAATTACAATGGGTGTTATAAAAAAGACAAAACATAAGTACCAGTAAGGCTATGAAGAAAAGGGTACCCTTACATTCTGTTGGCCAGGTTGCAAATGTGGCATCTAGACAATCAAATATTATTCAACACTAGAAAATAATGAAATCTTGCTATTTGCAGAAAAAAATGAGTAGAGAGGGAGATCATTACTTTAAGTGAAATAAGTCAGACATAGACAAATACTGTCAAAATTAAGGTAAATCAGTTTGGAAACCAGTGCTGTGATGCAGCAAGTTAACCCACTGCCTGCAACATTGGCATCCCACCTGGGCACCTGACCAAGTTCAACTGCTCTGTTTCTGATCCAGTTCCTGCTAATATTTCTGGAAACACAGTGGAAAATGCCCCAAGTCCCTGATGCCCTTCCAACCACATGGAAGATCCGTATGGAATTCCTGGTGCCAACTATCTCTTAGAGCGATTCTCAATGGATTATCAAAGAAAGTGAAAGTGGGGACTAGGTCTAAAGAATCTTACAGCAAGCAAAAACAGTTAGGCCATATAGGTTTCCTAAGCCTTGCTTAATTTACAAGTAGAAGCAAAACTTGATACTTCTTGTAAATGCCTATATTGAAGAAAAACAGAACTTAAGTGTAACCAACAAAGTGATCAACAGACAACTTTCCAATGGTATAGACTGGATGAAACTGCAACCTTTGAAATTTAAGCTTTGTCTTACTTTAAGTTCATCCTATAATGGCCTTGTGTTCTTTTCATGGAACTCCTGAACCATGTCTGAATTGAAGCTGGTGACTCATGAAATCATTACACAAACAAGCTTTTAAAATTTTGATTATGCATCAATTTATTTTTTAACAGGATACATGTTGTAATTACCTAGATGGGCTTCTAAAAAAATAGTTCAGGGCCTCACTCCCAATTAGATTAAAACCTCTAGGTGTGAGTCTCTGGCCTTAGTACTTCTTTTTTAAAGGTTTATTTATTTTTATTGGAAAGGCAGATTTACAGAGAGAAGAGATAGAGAACTCTTCCAATTCCTAGTTGACTCCACAAATGGCTGCAACAGCTGGAGCTGGGCCAATACAAAGC